TTCAGGAGGGGATCCAGTTGGTTTCTCAAGAGAACAAGAGGTTCCCTCCATGTGGTTTTGACCTACAGTTGATTGAGAAATTTCTGTGGAGGTTCAAGATTGGTGAAGGGGTTGAATGATATGCGCTTGTTGGGGTGATCATCTGGACTGTGACTCATGACTATGGGTAGAGAGAGACAGTTTGTCCTTGGGAAGACCATTTGGGATGTTTTAGACGGGCCCCTACAAGAGGACTCACCTTATGCTATATTGCTGTGGTTAATTAAGTTCCATCAAGTTGGTTCCACCTCACAGTCTGAGTTAGTTCTGACTGATAGCCACCCTATATAAAGTTTCTGAGGCGTGGCTGGTGAGTTTGAACCACTGACCTTGCAGTTCAAAGTGACCTTTTGATCCAGAGTTTATGCTACCATGCCAGGACCCCATCACATGGGCTAGGTCATCTTTCATAATATTTTAAGTTTCCATTCTGCTTATAATAGGACATCATCAGCCGCTCCTTGGAAACCCTATACTGGGTTGCTATGATGTGGAATCAACTCGACAACACTAACATGTTTTCCCTTATGATATTCTAAGGGGATAACATTAAGAACAACATAACACTTTTAAGAGAGCATGGCATATACGAAAGCAATATACATTTGCATCCTTCTCACTTCATTTACCCACATTCCTGTGCTGAAGTCATTGGCTTTCCTGGGGGTGAGGGGTGGAGAGCAGAGCTGTATTTGTATTTAACACTCCCAGCCTTGCACTCACCACGCACTGCGGGCAGCTGGGACCTGGCAGTGCCTCAGAGGGCTCCACGGAGATGTAGCCAAGCGGCTGATTGAAAAGGGATCAACACCATTTCCCAATCCTGCAAGGGCCACCAGGGATGCCAAAATTAATGTTGCGACATGGCGGTCCTGCTGCCTGCCTCAAGGAAAGCCAATTACTTACACACAGGGGTGTGGTAAAGCAAGCAAAGTTTGATGCATCTATAAGAGGTGGGGGATTGCATAGCCTCCAAGGACTTCCTCTCTGAGGAAAAAAAGGAAAGAGGGTTTTAGGGAATGAAGTGGAGGTCCAAGGATGGAGTTGCTTTAGCCAGCTATGACGTCAAACCTTCATGTTGTATATGAATATGAACACAGAAGCAGTCATGTATGAAGACTCAAAACTGTTCTTTTGGAGCCTTAGCATTAAACTTACTGCCGTTCTGCTCTGTAAAACTGTGGTTTGCTCTTCATCATTCTAGTCTTAGTTTTCATCTTGCTAAATTTACCTCCAAAACTTTTTAACCTTAGAGTTACAATATCAAAATCCATTAGTTGAACAATAAAGAAGAAAAATGGTATCCTATACCAAGAAAACCAATTGTCTATTTGGTGAATTATTTGACCTTCCTCAGGATTCTCAGATCAGTTATAATCTGTGAACTTTTTCTTTCAGAGTTCTGGAAAATCTTGATTTTGTATAGTAGGCTCCAAGTTCAAAACATCAGTTCTTTCCACAGGTCCAAGACAGTCTGTCTTTCTGATGGAAATTTTGGTTAAGCATCCCAGCATGTCAGCAAGGCAAGGTTAACACAGCCTTGGCTAGCTGGAGTCTTAGGGTGGCTCTGTAAGATCAATACTCCACTGCAAACCCACCAGCTGCTCCTTGGAAACCATATACAGGCTCACTATGAGTCAGAAGCAACTCAAAAGCACACAACAACAACAAAATTGATAATATTTTAAAATGTAAAAAGACCTGATGAGTATTACAGATTAATGCAAAGCCAAACAAAGTTCACTAAAAATCTTAAATTAGAAAAAAGTATCTTAAGACACAATAGCAAACCATGAAGTGACTAAACAAGAATTAAACATATAGGTAAAAGGGTTAAATTAAAAAGAAATGAAGTTGTGGCCAAGTTAGCAATTAAAATAACTAAATGATGAACCTATCAAGAAGACTCATTAACAACCTGCGATATGCAGATGATACAACATTGCTTGCTCAAAGTGAAGAGGATTTAAAACATTTACTGTTGAAGATCAAAGACCACAGCTTTCGGTATGGATTACATCTCAATGTAAAGAAAACAAAAATCCTCACCACTGGACCAAGAAACAACATTCTTAGCAACAGAGAAAAGATTGAAGTTGTCAAGGACTTCATTCTTCTTGAATCAACTATCAACACTCATGGAAGCAGCAGTCAAGAAATCAAACAACGTATTGCATTAGGCAAATCTGCTGCACAAGACCTTTTTCTTAATGTGTTGATGAGCAAAGACGTCAGCTTGAGAACCAAAGTGCGCCTGACCCAAGCCATGGTATTTTCAATAACCTCATATGCTTGCTGAAGCTGGACAGTGAATAAGGAAGACCGTAGAAGAATTGATGCTTTTGAGTTATGGTGCTGGAGGAGACTATAGAAAGTGCCATGGGCTGCCAAAAGAACCAATAGATCCATTTTGATAGAAGTGCAGCCAGAGTGCTCCTTGAAGGTCAAGATGGCCAAATTTCATCTCTCATACTTCGGACATATTGTCAGGAGGGATCAGTCACTGGAGAGGGATATCATGTTTGGTAAGGTGGAGGGTCAGAGAAAAAGAGGAAGACCCCCCAGTGAGATGGATTGGCCAAGCAGCAGCATCCATGGACTCAAGCGTGGCAACAATAGTGAGGTTGGCCCAGGATCGGGCAGTGTTTCGTTCTGCTGTGCATAAGGTCGCTATGGGTCGGTATCGACTCAATGGCACCTAACAACAAGAAGAAATGTACTGGTGTGGCGCGGTGGGTTAATGCGCTAGACTGCAAAGCTGTTTGAACTGCAAGGTTGGCAATTCACACTTACCAGCAGCTCCTCGGAAACCCTATACAGGGTCGCTATAGGTCGAAACCAACTTGACAGTACTTCCAACAATAAGTGTGGTACTGTGGGTTAATGCGCGGAGCTGCATTAAGATTCAAATTCACCAGCTGCTCCTTGGGAACCCTATATAAACTCACTATGGGTCGGAACCGACTCCACAGCCCTTAACAACAACTTTTTAAACAACATAAAACAAAGCATATTGGGAATCCGGTGTTCTAAAATGGATATAGCAACTCTTTAAGTTTTCTTTGGAAACATCCCATTTCAATAAAATAAAAAAAAAATTTTAAACCGGCTCCAGAACCATAATTTTAAAACTTATTAATATTCCAGAGTCTCAGATGTAGAAATCCCCGTGTTTGCTAGAAATGGACTTAACCTTTTGACTCAGATGAACTAGTTTGTAAAAGTTACCTGAGGCCTTTGTCACACCCAGTTCCATTTTTCTTTATCAGATGCTGTCTGTCCAATTTCCCTTATTAAATCCAGTCATATTTCTCTTAGACACAGTCCAAAGAGTGTTCAAGCAACATAAATAGAAAATAATAATGAAACCTGAGCACCAAACAGGAATTCCCCGAAAAGAAAAAGGATAAAGCAAATAGGAATTCATTTTCCCAAAGTGCGGTGAAAAAACAGAACAGATGGGAACCGATTTCCCCAAAGTGGCCACTGAAATTCCAAACTACCTCTAATACATTCAGTGCGATTTTCAGAAACAAACAACTATGTAGTTAATAGCATTTCTGAAGCTGAACCCCAAACTAGCGTCCCAGTAGGGAGTTCCAAGGTTACTTTTCTTAGATATTGAGGATTCTGATCTCCACGGACTGAAACCGGGGTTTCCCAGACAGAATTCCTAAATGAGGAGTGTGCAGTGAGTCTTGGATTGAAATTTTCTTGCCCATCTCATCATCACATGAATGTCTTTCAGGTAAGACAAGCACCCGCTTATTGATGCTAAGCTCCTGTAAATGGTTTCCTGGTGCTTGATGAGTTTGAACCGCCGATCTTGCAGTTAATAGTCCGGTACTTCTCCTACAGTGCCACACGAGGCCTCCATTCCTGCCGTCTCGACAGCTCTTCTCCCACCAGCTGTCATCAAGTTCACTTGCTCCCCTTTCACCAAGAACTTGTCTGACTAACTGCAAAAAGCACGGTGACCATGTTTGGTCACTTGGCCAGACATGGATGAGCCAGCAACCTCTCTCACTTAGTGCAACTCCACTGGAAAGTCAGAGCACACCCACGCATGCGCCCTGTCCCTATGGAGCTGGCCCCGCCCTACGTTTACTAACGCAGTGAGGAGGCGTGGCTCAGCGCGTGCGCAGCGCGGGAATGAAAGGCTGCGCGCGGCTGTTGGCGGGACACTTCTCGCGGTGAGGGGCGGGACTGTGAGGCGGCCGCGAGGTAAGTGACCATCCTGCTGCCAGGCTGTTGTGGAGTGGGACGGCGGAGCCTCGCCATCCGCCTAGGGACGCTCTCTGCAGGCCTGGGGACGGATTGAGCCCCTAGCCGAGGAGGGCCTGACGTCACTCTGCGGCCTCCGGGGGCTACGAGTTCGAATCCGCACTCCGAAGTTTGAAGTCTGGGCAGTACCAGCGCTCCGGATATAGCTTTGGTTTTACCAGGAGTTTGACGGGCTCCGCTTGGTGTCTGCTTTCGATCGGGCATTGCAGAAAACGATCAGGTCTGTGTTGGGGCGATTCCTTAGGAACGGGCTTACAGGTGTTGTGTTATCAGAGGCTGGGGCAGCCACTGATGGGCACCGTGGGAGATCCGGGGTCCCGCTGGGAGCTCTGCTCCGAAGGAGCATTCTCGGATTCCTGTCCTTCCTTTGGGTTGAGGGGTGCAGGACCAGAAAGTAGATTCCTGGGTTCCCACCTCCGTGGTCTTTCCTGATGCCCTTTGGGGTGAGGATTGTAGGACCAGACAGTAAGTTCCCAGGTTCCCACCCCAGCTGTCTTTATTGTCCTTCCTTTGGCATGCGGATTGTAGGACCAGACAGTAAGTTCCCAGGTTCCCACCTGATGCCCTTTGGCTGTAGTGAGCTCACTTAGTGAAGCTGCCCTAGGGTGGGGACAAGAAGAGGCTTCTTATGTCTTTGCAGGACCCAGTTGTTGGCTTGGGGCTGGCAGCCCAGCTTGGACATGTTCTCCGACCAGGCTGCCCAGAGCGCTCCCACCCTGCTGTCCCCACTGTCGGCCAGCACCCCCACCTTTGCTCGGGTGCCCGTGGTGGGCTACACCAACTGCTCACAGCCCTTCCGGCTGGGGGAGCGCAGCTTCAGCCGTCAGTATGCCCACATCTATGCCACCCGCCTCATCCAGATGAGACCCTTCCTGGTGAGCCGGGCTCAGCAGCACTGGGGTAAGTGGTAGTTTGGTGAGATGCCTCCCCACAACCCTTCAGAGCAGACCTGGGACTTGTAGAACTACTGTTTCAAGAAAATTGGCAGAGCTGGGGTGCTTATTCCACTTAAGTTTTGGGAAGTTTCTTAACCTTTTAGTGCCTTGGTAATCCTTGTTTGCTCAGTGGTTCAAGCTCACCAGCTACTCCTCGTAAACCCAATACTAGGTCACTATGGGTTGGAACCAACTCGACAGCACTTAACAGTGACAACAAGAATTAACAGCCAACCCTATGCTTAGCAATAGAACACTACCCAGCCCTGGTCCTGAGCCATCTCATAATTGTTATGTTTGAGCCATTGTTGCATCTGGTTGGGGGTTTTCCTCTTTTCTGACTCTCTACCAAGTCCTGGTGTGGCGCTGTGGGTTAATTAACGCGCCAGACTGCAAAGCGTTTCAACTGCAAGGTCGGCAGTTCAAGTTCACCAGCTGCTCCTCGGAAACCCTATACAGGGTCGCTATGGGTCGGAACTGACTCAACAGCACTTCACAACAACAACCAAGTATGAAAGGAGCTCTGGTAGCATAGTACTTATGAATCGGGCTGTGAACCGCAAGGTCAGCAGTTCGAAACTACCAGCTGTTCCCCGAGAGAAAGATGAGGCTTTCTGCTTGCGTAAAGATTTATAGCCTCGGAAACCCTGTATAGGGCCCCTGTGAGTCAGAACCGACTCCATGGCACATAACCGCCACCAAACACTAAGTATAATGTCCTTTTACAGGGACTGATCTCTTCAGGTAATATGGCTGAAGTTTCAAGGAGCATTCTAGATGTAATTATTCCAAGACAGATTTGTTCCTTCCTGCATTCTATGCAATGGTACAGTCAGTATTTTTAACCAACACCATAATTCAAATGCATTCATTCTTCTCGGTCTTCCTTGTTCATTGTCCAGCTTCCGCATGCATATGAGGAGATTAAAAATACCTTGGTTTAGGTTTTTTTGTTGTTGTGTGCCCTCGAGTCAGTTCTGACCCATAGCAACTCTGTGTCGGGTTTCTGAGGAGCAACTAGTAAGCTTGAACTGCCATCTTCAAAGTGACATCCTTGCTCTTCAGCACTTTAAAGAGGTCGTTAGCAGCAGATTTGCCCAATGCAATATGTCGTTTGATTTCTTGACTGCTGTTTCCTTGAGCATTGATTATGGATCCAGATAAAATGAAATCCTTGACAAGTTCAATCTTTCCTCTGTTTCATGATATTGTTTATTGGTCCAGTTGTGAGGATTTTCGTTTTCTTTACATTGAGTTGTAATCTGTACTGAAGGCTGCAGTCTTTGATCTTCATCAGCAAGTACTTTAAGTCCTCTTGAATTCCTGCAAGCAAAGTTGTGTGGTCTGCATATTGAAGGTTGTTAATGAGCCTTCCCGTCCTGATACCACGTTCTCTTGATTTCCTCCAGCTTCTTGGTTTATTTGCTCAGCAAACAGATTGAGTAAGTACAGTGAGAGGCTACAACCCCGACACATACCTTTCCTGATTTTGAGCCACATAGTGCCCCCTTGTTTCACTGACTGCCTCTTGGTCTAGGTACAGGTTTCTCATGAGCACAATTAAATGTTCTGGAATTCCCATTCTTTGCAATGTTATCCATAGTTAATTGTGAACACAAGTAAACATGTTTCTGGTGTTCTCTTGCTGTGAGTCAGGTGGATCTACTGTTAACAGTGATATATATCCCTTATTCCATATCCTCATAGGAATCTGGCTTTAAGTTTTGGCAGCTACCTGTTGGAGCTCTGGTAGCGTAGTGGTTACAAATTGGGCTACTAACCTCAGGGTCAGCAGTTCATAACTACCCGCTGCTCCACGGGAGAAAGATGAGGCTTTCTGCTCCTGTAAAGATTTATTGCCTCAGAAACCCTGTACAGGGTCGCTGTGAGTCGGAACCAACTCCAGGCACATAACAACAACACACCTGTTGATATGTTGCTGCTAGTGTTTTGAATTAACCTCACAGTTTTACTTGCATGTGATATTAATGATTGATAATATCTGCATTCTGTTGGGTCACCTGTCTTTGGAATGGGCACAAATAGGGATCTCTCCCAGTTGGTTGGCCAGATAGCTGTCTTCTGAATTTCTTGGCACAGGCTAGTTAGTGTTCACAGTGCTGCATCATTTGTTGAAACATTTCGCTTTGCTTTTTGTCAATTCCGGAGCGTTGTTTTTCAATAATGCCTTCACTTCACTTTGGACTTATTCCTTCAATGCCATCAATTCTTGGTCATTGGCTACCTCTTGGGATGGTTGGACGTTGACAAGTTATTTTTGGTGCCGTGACTCTTCCTTCCATTTTCTTTTTGATGCTTCCTACGCTGTTCATAATTTTGTCAGTGGTGGTGGTGTGGCGTGGAGTCGGTGTTGACTCATAGCGACCCTGCATAGAGTTTCCGAGGCTGTAAGTCTTTACAGGAGTAGAAAGCCTCATCTTTCTCCTGCAGAACAGCTGGTCAAACTGCTGACCTTGAAGTTAGTAGCCCAGTTCAGAACCACGACGCTACCAGAGCTCCTTATATTTCAGTATTGCAAGTTGAGTCATGTTTCTTCAATTCTTTCAACTTGATAAATGCTGAGCGTGTTCTAACCTTTGGTTTTCTAAACAAGGAATGATAGTAGGTTATCCAGGCAGCTGTCTCCACAGGAATAGGGGGATAAGAATATGAAGTTTTCTATTTTAAGTATCTCTGGCCTCACTGGGCAAGGCATTGGGGGATGGAAGAAGCAAAATTGTTATAAGCGGCTGCCCTGTTTTTCGGCAGGGTTATGCTGAGACCCGGCAGCGTACCTCTTCCTAGGAACCAGTGTTGAATTTTAGTTGTTAGTGGAATAGCGCTATGTGTGAGCTTCCTGCCAACAGTGTATGACGACAACTGGGCACAAACTGGGTGGCTTAAGACAGAAAGGCCCTCTGCCATCCCTCATGGGGCTTCCAGAGGAAGTTACCTCTTCCCTCTCTGCCTGGCAGCCCTGGGCTTGTGGCCACCCCACTCCAAGCTCTGCTCCACGATCGCATGGCTCTCCTCGGAAGGACACAGTGACAGCAGTGAGGGCCCTTGTCCTTTATGTCATCTATCCCGGCATAGGCAGGGCACTCTCTGAGGCTCTGTCCCTGTGTCCAGGCAGTGGGGTCAGGGTGAGGAAGCTGTGTGAGCTGCAGCCCGGCGAAGACTGCTGTGTGGTGGGGACCCTCTTCAAGGCCATGCAGCTCCAGCCTTCCATCCTGCAGGAAGTCAGCGAGGAGGTGAGGCCCAGAGATGGGGGTGGTGACGAGAGTGGACGTTCACCTCCCTGGAGCATTGCCCTGGCCTTGGGAGGGAGGTCCAAAGAAGGTGGACTTCGCGGGGTTTGGCTTCAGTGCTCTAGCGTTCAGATGACACAAGTGCCTGCTGGTGGGCCCTGGCCAAAGACCCCCTCTCTCCACATTTCAGCACAACCTGCTGCCTCAGCCTCCTCGGAACAAATACATTCACCCAGACGATGAGTTGATCTTGGAAGATGAACTGCAGCGGATTAAACTGGAAGGCACTATCCCCGTGCCAACGCTGGTTACAGGTGAGAGTGGCCCCGGCTCTGGTCGCATCCCGGACATGGTGAAGGGCCCTGTGGTCACCTGTTGAGTCAGGCAGACAGAATCAACAGTAGGAATGCGGTGGGTGGCCTTCTACATGATGACCCCACCAGCAGAGCAGGAGAACAGGCTGATGGCGGCAATCTCAGGGACTGGGAGCAGGGGCAGTGCCTCCTGACACCCCCTGCTCCCCAGGTACCGTCATGGCTGTGTTTGGTTCCGTGAGAGAAGACGGCAAGTTTCTAGTGCAGGATCACTGCTTTGCTGACCTAGCTCCTCAGAAGCCGGTGGCACCCCTAGACGCAGACAGGTGAGGAACAGGTGTTGGGGGATCCAGAGCAGAGACCCCTGCCATGCTACATGCTCATCCTGCGGGGAAAGACCTCCCCTGGGGGCTCACTCACCCCACCCCTCCCCTGCTTTTCTCTCAGGTTTGTGCTGCTGGTGTCTGGCCTGGGTCTCGGTGGAGGTGGTGGCGAGAGCTTGCTGAGCACCCAGCTGCTGGTGGACGTGGTGACGGGGCAGCTGGGGGATGAAGGGGAGCAGTGTTGCGCTGCCCACATTGCCCGCGTCATACTGGCTGGGAATCTGCTTAGCCAGAACACTCAGAGCAGAGATTCCATTAACAAGGTACATGGCCCGCGCCAGTAACCTCGGGATGCTGGCTGGCTACGAGGGCCTACAGGGTGCGTACCGCCTCCACCACTGTGCCGCCTGTGCTTCTTGCAGGCCAAGTACCTCACCAAGAAGACGCAGGCAGCCAGTGTGGAGGCCGTCAAGGTGCTAGACGAGATCCTCCTGCAGCTGAGTGTAAGGGAGCCTGGGCTGAGGGGGGCCGGCGGGGTGGGTGGGGGCGGGGCTACCGATACATGGGCGGGACAGGTGGGTGGGACTACAGGAGATATGGGCAGGGCGGAACTAAAGGAGCCGTGGGGGCGGGGCTACCAGAGACTGGGGAGGGGTAAACTACTGGAGACGTGGGCGAGTCCCGTGGGGCAGGGCTACATGAGACTTGGGCTGGGCAGGTGGGGTGGGACTGGGCTAGGAGATGTGGTTGGGGACAGTGAGGCTGTAGTAGACATAGAAGGTAGGTGGGAACAAAGGGGTTCGCCTGACAAGTGGCGTCCTGCTAGGCTTCAGTACCAGTGGATGTGATGCCTGGTGAGTTCGACCCAACCAACTACACGCTGCCCCAGCAGCCCCTGCACCCATGCATGTTCCCGCTGGCTAAGGCCTACTCGACACTCCAGCTGGTCACCAACCCCTACCAGGCCACCATCGATGGAGTCAGGTACTGCAGCAGCTCAGGCCTTTGGGCTCAGGTGGAATCATGACCGGGCAGTGGGTCAAGAGGAAGTGACAGGGTGGTGGTCCAGCTGGAGTCAGACTTTCTGGTTCCACGGTTGGTCTGGGCACACCGATCAGCATGAGCCCCTGGGGGTGGCAGGGTCCTCAGCAGTCAAGGCCACACCCCACCCCCCCAGGCCGGGCTTCAGTGAGCCTTACCTTGCAGGTTCTTGGGGACGTCGGGACAGAATGTGAGTGACATCTATCGGTACAGCAGCATGGAGGACCACCTAGAGATCCTTGAGTGGACCCTGCGGGTCCGTCACATCAGCCCCACAGCTCCTGACACCCTAGGTAATGGGACTGGCCCCATGGTGTTCACAGGGCTTCCTGGCACCGACTTGCAGCCACTGGCCTTGCTGTGACCTAAGGAACTGATCAGAAACCTGCTGTTTCTGTGAAAGCTATTCTAGAATTGCCATTCTCGCTGTGGCAAGGCCCTGCTTGGGGCTAAAAGCCTTGGGGACACCTTGGAAGTTGGAGCTGGTCAGAGTTCTGTGCCCTGTACCCGTCCAGCCCAAGGCTGGAACTCATTGACCAGCCTTGACCCACTGCACCACCTTCATGGTCTCCTAGGACATGGAACAGTCCTGTTGTCATTCAAGGTGCTGGGGCACCTGGCAGCTCGAGGCCTCAGTGCTTTCCAACAGGATTCTAGCCCCCAGTGGCAGTGACGACAAACCCTTCTTTTCCTCCAGGCTGCTACCCCTTCTACCAAACTGACCCCTTCATCTTTCCGGAATGTCCTCATGTCTACTTCTGTGGCAACACCCCCAGCTTCGGCTCCAAAGTCATCCAAGGTAAATGTCCTGTGAGCACAGCCCGCCCACCATGGGGTGGGGGCTGGGGTGGCCTGCAGGACTAAGACAATTGTAGAGCTCCGAGACGGCCAGCTGGATGTGCTCAGAACAGGGCTGGCATTGCGCCCAGCCCATGTGATAGTCATCACCATCAGCTTTGGACCTTTATACTGTCCTAACCCTTTTCATTTCTGCTCCAAAGAGCTATGTTCTTGGGGAAGGACGCATCAAATCTGAAGGTTTCCACATGGTTTCCTCCTAGGACCCGAGGACCAGACCGTGCTCTTGGTGGCTGTCCCTGATTTCAGTGCCACACAGACTGCCTGCCTCGTGAACCTACGCAGCCTGACCTGTCAGCCCATCAGCTTCTCGGGCTTTGGGGCAGAGGATGAGGAGGACCTGGGAGGCCCAGATCTGTGATCCTAATCTGCCTAGGCGAGCCTTCCCCGCCTTCACTTTGTAAATAAACCCTCAACATTGCTCCCCAGACTCAGGCCCTTGGGCTGAATCCGAACGTCCAAAGTGGGCCCTCTGGCACAAACTGCTAGAGAGGGCACCCATGAGTTGAATGCAAGCCTCCCACCCACCCTGAGAAGCCCCCTGCTTCCCTTCCCATTTTCAGGCTGTTCAGGTGAGAGGGAGCTGTCTGCTGTGGAGTGTTTTATTGGAAGGGCCAGGCAAGGGGCCTGACTGCTGGCTGCTCCCTCCACCTCTTCTGACCCGTGCCACCCTAAACTGCCCCCCATAGCCCCGCAGGCATCCCCCAGGCCAAGGCAGGGTAGAAACTCAGAGGTGCCTGGTGGCCAATGTACAGACTCTTAACTCAGGTTTTGGTCACATTCTTGTCCCCTCAGAGGGGCAGGGCAGGGCAGTCCCCCACAGGAAGCCACTTGACTTCCTAGCCAGGCTTGCACCAGGCTAGTCCTCTATGTGGTGGAGGAAGGATGGGCAGAGTTGTCTGCCACATCCTCAGAAGTCCCCAAAATTCACAGTATAGGTCTCAGCTGTCGTGAAGGGTAATTCTGGGCCCGTGGCCAGCTCTTCTTCCTCAAAGGTGAACTCAGTTCCAAACTCTGTTACCACCTCTGTGTAGGTCTCAGTTTCCATCTCATCCCAACTGGTGGTGGTGGTGGTAGTGGTGGTGGTAATGGGGAGTAACGGGCCCCAAGGACCCGGAGTGGAGCTGGGGGGCAAGCTGGTGGAGAGGGCCGGGTCCACTGTGGTGGCGTTGACGCGGCGCATGCGCATCTGCTCCCTCATTTTCAGGCGGTACTGAAGTCTGCGTCTTTGCATCATCCGCTGCTGGGGAGTCATAGGGCGGGATGGGTCAATACGAGGGATGGGCCGGTTCCCATTCATGGCCAGGATCTCACGGATGCGCTTCCAGTTGGAGCGGGAGAGGATGAAATTGCACTGGGTGGCCCCGATGTCATAGTCCACGTTGCAAGTCTTGGCACTTGGGGTGTAGCCCTCTGCGTGGGCTGTCACACGGTACTCGCCGGGGTTCAGGATGCGCCAATAATCACCTCCACATGCTGCAGAGCGGGAACCAGTGGTCTGTCTCAGTGTTCCTGAGCCCCCCACCCCACCCCCACATGCTGCAGAGTGGGAACCAGTGGTCTGTCTCAGCGTTCCTGAGCCCCCACCCCACCCCCACATGCTGCAGAGTGGG